ATTACAGGGAGCGACTTTCCAGAGGCCTGTCAGGTTTAAACATGGGTGGTATCTGACAAATCACTACTGATTTGATCTGCTGCTGTTTTGCTCTGTACAGAACTAATTTATCCTAAACACTCAACTCAACTCAAACTTCATCTCTAAAGCGCCTTTCAGGCACAGGGGTGAAAGTGCTGGACCGAGAAACCATAAAATAACAAAACAAGAATAAAAAAGTAAATGAACATAAAAGTTGTGATGAAAACATTCTAACAGCCAGAGGTAAAGGCCAGGTCAAGCAAAAATGTCTTTAGCCTACCCTTAAAAACAACCACTAAAGCCTGATTCATGCTTCTCCGTCTGCGTCAGTGCGGAGACACGCAACGCCATTATCCATCCTTGCGAGGCTGCTGGAGAGCTCCGCAAGGACGGACGGAGTCAAGCTCTCTTTTCTAAACATCCGTCCGTCGAGGCGGACAACGCAAGCTTGTGATTGTTCAGGACGCCGCTGTCGTCTACACTGCCGCCATTGCGCCCTCAAAAACATAAAGAGAGCCGAGGATAACTAGCGGCAGACCCCGAGCAGTTTGAAGAATACCTCGCGAAAAAACTCTAAATACATGAACGTTTAATTCCCCCGTGACTGGAGGAGTGAAAAGATGTGCAGCAAGCGTTTTATTTGTGGACGGAAATGACAGGAAACATGGGTTTAGAGGTGGCGAGCGCATGAAGAGGTGGAGGAGGTTGAGAGACAAATTTGTCTGTGTTAAAAAGTCTCTTACTTACAAAAAAACACAATATAAACACACTATCTTGGACCGGATACATGACAGGATACCACAGAACAGCGCTACGCCCTCTGCTGTCCTGGAGGGGAATTACTTTGCAACACTCCCCAGGAGACGAAGAAGTATGAGGGCAAAACATCTCCGTCCGTGCGTGCGTGTCTCTCCCTTTTGGAGATGACGCAGAAACATGAATCAGGCTTAAGGGCTAAGCCCTTACAGAGTAGGGTAACTCATTCCAGAGTTTTGAGCCTGCCATAGAGAACACCTTGGGTGCGAGAGCTGAAGATGATTCTCTGAGTGGAGTGCCCAAAACGGAGGTATATGTCTGTATCAGTGTCTGTAAGTATGACGGAGCCAGAAGTATAGGAGGATCTTTTGTGACATCAATGTTTATGTTTCTTGCACTGCATTACGGGATTGTGTGACAAGAAAAAGTATATTTCATCTATAATACAAATGTTTTGCACATTGGGAGGAGGATTTAGCAAAGCAGATGAATCCTTCTTGCTGTGTGGTTGATTGTTCAGCTCGTGGGAGGCTTGATGAAATGTTTCATTGGAATTTCCTCCGTAAAGGACCACGAAATACAATGAAGTTAGCTCTACGTTAGCCTCTATCCGTCTTTACCTGATATTAGAGTGAAACAAAAAGGTGCTGTGGCTTAATAGGTTTACAAGAAATCACATCTGGGTTTATCCTGTTTACTGGCTTACATCCTTCCCACAACACTGTTGTTATTTACCGGTTGGTGTTGAATTACAAATCCTAACGCAGAAGTGTTTTGCCGATGCAGCCCTGGCAACTCCCTCAGCTCGCACATTGTAAACAGTAACTACGTCCCTCTTTGGTCTTTTTAAAAGGACGGAAACTTATAACCTCCCAGCCGACTGAGAAAGAAATATGTTCCAATTGAATCAATCTTTCAACATGATTGAGATATTAGGCTGTTTTGTCATTACTTAACTATAAAATGCGTATTTATTGAAACTTTAAACATCCAACAAATTAGGTCAGCCATGTGAAGGCACCAGGGACTAAACTAATGTGGGTGTGGCTGCAGATGCTCCACATGCAAGCTCTGTGGGCAGCCTTGTAATTGAGTTGTTTGATGAATGAGTGGAAACAAAGACGTGAGTCCAGGTGCACCAAAACACCACAAGCTCTGTGAGGACCATCGTAGAAAACACACACTGTGACAGACTGAGGAATGGTGATTATCAGTAATGTTATCCATCTTAACGGTCAGTATTTTGCTCTAAAAGCACACATTTTTTGTGCGTGCATCACTTAATTTTGTCAACATTTATTGAATACTGACTGTAGTTCTCAGAAACCTTGGTGAATAATGTACTACACAACATAAACATGGGTAAACACAGAATAATTAATGGATGTTCACATCAATCTGGATTAAAAAGTAAGAAATAATGGGTCTTGTTTTCACCACTGGACTATTGTTTTCCTCCCTCAGAAGGTCCCCTCCTGTTACCCTATAAGAATCACTTGTTCTGACTCACAGTCATGTATACAACATTGTAGCACAAACTTACAACCTTCTCAGTTTTACAAATATTTGGTATACAGACTTCTCATGTTTATTCAAAGTACTGAGTTACACTGCTGTAGAGAGATAGCCAGACAAGAGCTTTTTGGGAGGGAGAAAGAAAACGGTTCCAAATGAAAAGTAATGATTCATGCCATAGATAGAATATAAACTCAAATAAATGCTGGACCTCTCAGCGCCATTGGACAGTTCCACTTTATGCAATTTCGATTGGATCTGAATGTTGCGTAGACAACTTGGTATCGCATTACTCTAAATATGGCAGTGTGTGCACTTTTTCTGCAAGTGTGTGTGGATGTGAGGGGAGAGGATAGGGGCACAGTGAGGTGGGTGGTCTCCACTCACTTATCATGATACAACACAAAAGCCTCATTGGTATTTTCAAAAGGAAATTAATATTGCCATCAGCAGTTGCTCTTGCGTGCGCGTCGCCATACAGCCGGGTGTTTGTGTACCTCTGAAACAGAGCAGTGATTTTCCACTGCAGCTGAAGAGTTTTCACCTTGAACTGGAAACAATGTGCAGGACGACTAGGGCTCGGGTTGTGAATGCCGCAGGTCCTCATTGTCAACTCTGCAAACAAAGAAAGACTAATGGGAATAGAGTTAGTCAGAAATGTTTCTTCTGATTTACCAGAATAAGTCAAATCAAGCAGTTCTTTACCTTTATTGTAAAGCTATAACAGACCCTTCTACATTCTCAGTGCCCTAGTGGTATAAGTGTCCACCCTGGGACTCGGACATTGGTGTTCAAACCCGGTCGGGTAACACCAAAGACTTTAAAAAGGTGACCAAATGTCTCCTCGCTTGTCACTCAGCTTTAGGAGATGGACTGGGGGGGTTAAACCACCAAATAGTTCCAGAGCTCAGCCGCTGCTGCAGCTCACCGCTCCACACTGGGATGGGTCAAATGTGGAGATGTAATTTCACCAGTGTGTGAGGATGACTAATGAGATGTTAACTTTACATTGGGACACAAACAGCAAATAGCACGACCAGGCACCCATCATTCTATTGGATTTTGCTTACTCTGTGTGCTCATTTCAAATTTGCAAGGCATATGTATTTTTTGTAATTTGTCATTTTGCATAGTAAATAGATTTTTATTTATTTGGGTTTACATGAAAAGGTTATTTCCCACCCCTTGTGGAAGGTTAGATTGCAATGAGAACAGATTCTAGAGTTAAACACAGAGATCTCTTTCTCCAGAAACACTCTCCAGCTCCACCTAATGGGTCCCAAGGTTTTCCCAGAGAAGATTTAGAATTCATCCAGGAAGTTCTGACCTGCCTCTGGGTCTCCTTCTAGTGTGTTCTTCCTGTAAAATCTCCAGAGGAATACAGCCAGCTTGTGCTCCGGTCCTAGCTGATTTCTTTGCGTGAGAAGAAGCAGAGGCTGTTCTCTGAGCCCAGACACAACGAGAAAGATCCTTTCAGGTGTTTAGAATCGCACTCATGATGCTAACCTTGTGACGACAGGTGATGTTTGGGTAGTGGTATGAACTGTGGTAGTAGTGGCTAGTTGTGGCACTTCAAGTGCAGACTGGGCGATACCTGCAGGGATGTCATGTTTCTGCAGTAATAAACATCTAATGCAGAATAGGCTGTGGGTTTCAGCAGCAATGCTGAACTCAGCACATTAGTACAAAGCTATGACCATCTTAAGTGTGTTCTTGCTGTGCGTTATTTCTAATTCCATGTTGTTGTTCTTTTTTATAACACAGAAACGGTTTTGTTACCTGTTATTGACGCTACAGTTTCGCCGACGGCTGCCGGCAGTGTAGCGTCAATAACAGGTAACAAAACCGTTTCTGTGTTTTAAAAAAGAACGACAACATGAAATGCTATGACCATTTTAACACCAAAAGCATCAACTTAGAGAGGCAAAAAGAGATGCTGTCACAGCCTACAACCTTGCTGCTTTGACCAACGATGAGCTGGTGCTGACAACTAACCAAGATGGTTGTCCATCTGTTTTGGTCTGCTTATCCAGGTACAGGTTGCAGGGCTAGAAGCAGCATAGAGGCTAAGCATACTCCATCATTTTCACCAATCGGACCCTCAGGCTTTCCCTCGCCAGCATGGAGATATAACGCCTCCAGAATACCGTGGGTCAACCTGGGGACACCTCGCTGACAGGACGCATCCAAAACACACAGGAGGCATTCAGACCAAATACCTAAACCGCCTGAGATGGCTCCAGTGGCTCTATCCAGAGTCTCTCCTGGCTAACCCATCTCTAATGCTGATTCCAGCCATCCTATGGAGGAAACTTCTTTCAACTGCTTGTGTTTGTGATCTTGTTCTTTTGTCACTACCAAAGTTTATGATCACAGGTGAACATTAGAACAAAGATCATTCAGTAAACTGAGACTGTTTCTTTCTTGCTAAGCTCCCTCGTCATCATTACAGACCAAGCGATTGTTGTAAATACAACAAAAAATCATTGATAAAGCTTGGAACTGAAACCAGCTCATCGTCAACACGGTGAATCAGGCTGTCAATCTGTGAAAAACTACAAATTTGGAGGCAACGGTAGAAAAATCGTATAAATTGTTGCTTTCTGACTACCTGACTTACATAAAGTTTATTTATATGGTAGATTATGCATAAAGTAAAAAATATATATTATACAACTCAATGAGACTTATGCAAAAGAGACAACTCATTAAGACATGCTATAAATTTTAATAGACATATTGATATTTTTGAAGAAAAACAGCGTTATCCCTAGCTTTATTTACAATACATGAATAAAAAATGTCACATACAGTACAATGGTAAAAAAAAATAGAGAACTTAAATAATTATTTTATTTGTGTAACTACTTAAATAATGTAAAGGGTTATTCTATTCACACCACACCGTCTCAGCAGCTACAAATGCAACTTTCACATTAAGTGCTAAAGAAAATTGATTTTCCATTTTACAGCATGAATTCCTTTTTTGAAAGATAAAATCAGGCAGAGCTGAGAAAAGCAAGAGACAAAGGACATTTATGGATGCTGAACGTTCATTAAGAAAAGTGCCTGAAACCTGCTTCGTAAGATGAATGCAGAGGAGGAAAAGGTTGGTCTTACAAATCCTAAAAAATGGCAGATAATTGAATTCATGGTGGAAGAGAATAACGTTGTGTGTGTGTGTGTTTTTGTCTTGTTCTGGCAACTCACACACTCCTGACATCTCCAGCTGCGTTCAACTATTTTCTGACGATGTGCAGGAGTCATTAGTCTGATCTTTTGTTTTTTTCCTCCTTAGGTTAATCTGAAAGCCACCCTTCAAGGACAAAATCTTCCTCCGACTGTGAGCCGCTTCCACGGTGACTTAGAGGCCCGACCCGATCTTTGATCATCTCACAACAGAGACACATTTTTGACAGCGCTAATATAACCGTACGTCAGAGGAAGGAGTTAGACTGACTCCCCCAACTGCCCTGAATTACTTGATGCAGGCACAGACATGCATTAGAAAGAAAAGAAAAAAGTAAAGAAACAAAAAGTCACACATGTATTTTTTAAGGTTATATATATATATATATATATATATATATATATATATATATATATATATATATATATATATATATAAAGTACAACATGAAATGACACGACCTGACAAAGCTTAGTGTAAAACTGCCTTCTATAAACACCATATTCTCCCATATATTATTACGCTTAAAAAAATAGACCCTCCTCTATGATAATAATAGTAATGCTAGATTTTCTTCCTTTTTTTGCAAAGCTAAGTAGTACTTAGTGAAGCTCTATTGCAAATGTACATCACTGTGATGGTTTTTCCCTTTGTAGATTTAAGTTTGGGTTGTAGTTTCAGTGTGTGTGACAAAATAAAAGGAGTTTGCTGAGCCTTATCTATGATAATGTGGTGTGTGTGTGTGTGTGTGTGTGTGTGTGTGTGCGTGTGTGTGTGTGTGCGTGTGTGTGCGTGTGTGTGTGTGTGTGTGTGTGTGTGTGTGTGTGTGTGTGTGTGTGTGTGTGTGTGTGTGTGAAAGTCAAACTGCTGTTGTTTAAATTCATTTTTAGGGATGAAATCAATACAATGCACTAAAGCCAGAAACTCCATAATGGAAGAGTGAAATCAGCTTCAACACAGTCCTACGCTTGTTTACTCTGATTTCAGGTGAATGTTGCTAAAAAAAGAACTCCAGCATCTTTAAATTGATTTCATTATGACTATGTGCCCACAAACTAAACACAACATCATAGATGAGACAACATGTAGGCTCAATGTGACCCTTGACCCGTCTTCCTTCCTTGTTTGTGTATGTAGACATTTATTGAATGGGTTTATATAGACTATAAGGATGAATTAGTACTCCAAACGCCAGAGGACTCAAAGTTTTGATTCTGCAGAATCAACAAACACATTTGACTTGTGGTTTTGAAGTATTTTACAAAAGGCAGCAGGTAGCTTGAGAAAAGACCAAAGTCTTGGGTCAAACGGCCTTTTTCTGTAGAGTTCCTGCTGCTCTGAAGCCAGCTGTGAAGGATCTTCAGGTCTCTGAAATGTGAACACGGCTTGGATACCAGTCCTGGTGCTCGAGAGCAGATAGCTTATAGATGGAAAGAGGGAGATTTCTGTGTGTGGATCCGTCGCAGTCGGATGGGGAATTCTGTTTGTGTGTGTTAGTTTAGTTGAGGGGGATTAAACAGCCTCATTGAGAACACCTTATTTAGAGCCTGCTGGTGGTGATAGGTAGATTTGTGTCAATGTGAGGACGACGGTGGAGAGCAGCTCTCCCCCCCACACTCCTATACGATGTAGCTGGTCAGGTCTATGAGATATGAGGTCATGTCGATGATGTGATCCAGGATGCCGTCTTTCTCCTGGTCGTTGGGCATGCCCTGCTCACTTTTCTCACACTGACTTCCAGAGTAGCCGCTCTTACACATGCACTTGTTGGGCTCCACGCACACTCCTCCGTTGCGGCAGGCTGGCTCACATTTGGCTACAGTCACAAGGAAACAGAGTTATCAAACACAAGGCTGGTAAAATGAAGCCACAGAAAGAGTTAGGCGCATAGATTTCATTCCATATCATACATCTAACCATGCTTACCTATACGGCAGAAGGGCCCCTCCCAGCCTGGGCTGCAGCAACACTTGCTAGTAGGCGTGCAAAGTCCATTTTTGCAGTATCTGGAACACGCTGTCATCAGTAGCTCTGGAGGCTGCAGCTGACGCTGGCACTCCTTGGGGGCATGAGGCCTGCAGCAGTTGTTAAAAGGAATGAGAGAAAATCAGGATGAGGAATGAAGCCTCAGGGAGCAGAGGCAGACACATATTTTCTCTTCTGGATATCTTGATGAGTTACTTTCCAAAATACAGTTGATCACTGCACATTTCTTGTTGTGATATTTTTGAAGATATTGTGAAAACGGACATGGGAAATTCCCAAAATCATCCTGTTAATACAGAATCCCCATTGACTGAAACAAAATCTAAACAGATGGGGCTGCATGGGAGAAGTTCTATTCAACATGGGAATGCATTACATGTGTGTGTGTGTGTGTGTGCGTGCGTGTGGAAGTGTATTCATAAAAGTGTTCCGATACCACTTTGTGTAGTCTTAACTTCACAGTTACGGTTTGGTTGATGAAGAAAGAAAACACAAAGCTGCTAGATTCCACAGGTGCTTTCCCAGGTAACCACAACAGGTTAAGGAAGTCATACATGAAGAGGTCGTCCGTGTTGGCTGCAGCACCTACACGTTGTTTGTGAACTCTCCAGAGAATTGATTGCCCAGAACAGAAAGAGGAGAGGCCCACCTAGTGGCACCTTTGCGTTCAGCTTAAGATGATGTTCACTTCCCAGTGAGGTGGCAACAGAGGGAGCAATCTCAGCCGCGTGGAGGAGGTACAGTATATTCCAGAACATAGTCTCTAAACTAAACCCGGTAAAGTAGAAACGATAATGAAATATAGCTTTTTCAACACAACGATGAAACATTTAAAATACAAAATTAAAGCAACACCAAAGAAGCTTTAACAATTCAAGCTATTGCTTTCAAACTGGTTTCAGTGGTTTTTGAGTCAGAAACGTGAGCCACTTCACATTGGACAGCACTCTGTAGCCCTCTGCTGACCAGAAATTGCATTTAAAGTGAGGGTGTGTATTTTCCCTGACGATAGGGGGCAGTACATACCAAAATCATTGCAAGTAAGTGGTATTTTTGTGCTTGAGTAATCGCATAATAATAACATTAGTGTAAAAAAGCCCTGGGTGCAACTTCGTCAGACTGTTCAACCACCAGCAAAATGACAGGAACACCAGACTCCCTTTCATCACTGGCAACGAGCAAACAGGTAAACATGTAAAACAACAATGTTCATGAATGGTCAAAGTTTTGTAACCTCTTGTTATAAATCAGTTAATGCGTTCCGGTAGAAGAAAACTGTGTGTCTAAGATGGCGTTGCCCAGAGACTTAGACCCACTCTCATCTACTTTATACTTGATTTTTATGGTTAAATGTTACGAGGCTGCCAATATTTTCCAACAACTGAGCATAATTTCATTACTTTTTAACAACATGTCAATGGATGTTTCCAGAGATTAATGGTGAAAACTGCACATTGTCACTGTAACAGTTTTGTGGTTCAGGTAGGAACACTAGTGGGAGGTCTCTACCTATTTTACAGCAATAGATATTTCCCATGCTGCTAGCTAACTTGAAGGCTAGCAATTAGCTTTTTCAGTACACCAACCATCGATTAAAAAAAGCATAGGAAGTAGAAGAATTTAGCTTTTTTGAGCCTAGAAGTAAAAGTAAGAGAATAAGGCATTTAGAGGTGAAGCAAAGAGCTAAAACTAGAGCGAGCATTGGTGCGGCCTACTCTCCTTTAAGGAAGCTGAGGGAGCTTACAAAATTGTGGACTGATGGTGACCTGGCTTTGTTGCTACTGGACTTATAAGTAATAATATTTTTGTCAGTGTGGACCTTTTTACTTCGTTAGTGTCAGCTCGTTGTTTGTGCTAGCTACAGCAGGCTGTGGCAGTGTTTATGCTAGTTGTAATTCAGCTTTCAGCCAGTAGGAGGAAGAAGCAGAACATTTATTTTGTGTAGCTTTAATGTCGATTTTGTTAATAGCTGAAGAAAACTGCAGCAGCAAAGTCTGGAAAAGCAGGGTAACATCAAGTATGACATCTGTTAGAGCAGGGATTCCCAAAGTGTGAACCTGACCACAAGTCCACTGCAGCGTTTGTTATTCCGGTCCGCATGACAGCGGATCGCAGATTCAGCCACACCATAAAACAGCAATAAGTCGGTCTGAGGTAAAAGTGAACATCATGGCTATATCTTGTCCCCGATAGACATTTGATTACGCACAAGTAGGTGATCAGCTCAGGTTTACGCAGAGCAGAAGGAAGGAGAGCGCTCTGGCCGCACAGGTTAAACGTTCCTACTTTAAGAAAACCGTTAAATTGCATTGTTTATGTGCTACCTGGGCGCTCTAAACATTTATCCAAAATGAAATCAAAGGAAATTGTAATGGTATTGAATGCTTATTAATTACTATTTAAAAAATGAAAGTGATGGGGAATTTTTTTTAACCCTTTCTGTTTAGCTTGACATCTGATATATATATATATATATATATATATATATATATATATATATATATATATATATATATATATATATATATATATAGCCATGCCCCGATGTGGGGGCTGGGGTGGGGGGGGGGGTGGGGGGGGTGCGTCGACATGGTCGGGACATAGAAGGGGGTGCGCGGCTAAATAAGTTTGGGAACCACTGTGTTAGAGTGTATAGTATTCACATAAGTGCTTAGTATCGACAAGTACTCAACTGTAAGAATTTGTGCTCAGTTAAAAAAACAACTTGTTTTTAAAATCTGACATTTATGTATCATTAGACATTTTTTTAGATGATTACTTTCAACAATAATTTATCAGCCGATGGTCAATAAATTACTAATGAATAACTGTACAGTACGTGTTATTGTTTACAATCTTACATTTTTCCTACTTTTTGGACAAATTAATTTTCTGGGTTAAAACTTGAGCCCCAGATAACACATGAACAGGATCTGGAAAGTTCATAAGACACAAACATCCCCAGACCATGTGTGTCAGGTTTTGAACACCAAAGAGATGCACTCTGATCGTTTCATATTAAGACAAACATCCAGACATGCACATCAGCAAATTGGCTGAAACTGAATGATTTCATAACACGCTTCAAAAAATCTGGAATTAATACAGCTAGTGTGTAATCAAGTTCAAATGTGAAGCCTCTGTAAGTTCTGCTTAACACTAACCCACCCCACCCACCCACCCACATACACACACACACACACACACACACACACACACACACACACACACACACACACACACACACACACACACAACAGATTAATGTGTCCATTTATAGTGGTGAAAAAAGAAGAAATATTGGTGTGTTAGACATTGTAAAACAATGAGAACAAGTGCACAAGTACAGACACCCAAGGAGGGTAACTGGACTCGTGTGGACTGATTCTGGTATGAGAGCTGAGAAGCATGAGCAGTGAGGTCAGTGTGTGTGTGTGTGTGTGTGTGTGTGTGTGTGTGTGTGTGTGTGTGTGTGTGTGTGTGTGTGTGTGTGTAATGTTTAGGCAATGAGAGAACAAATCTCATCAATCATGGCCAAAGAGCAAATGGTCATTCAGCAGCAGAAGCCAAAACTAAATGTCATTTCGGGCTGATGCAGAAAAACATCTCCATCAGACAAAGCAGCAGTTGGATTTTAAAGGTGATCACCATTTTTACCTGCTACCATTTAACAGTCACAGCATCACACTTTTTTCAAGCGTGGACAAAGAAAAAAATCATTTGATCCCTTTTGGTTCCAGCATCTATCCACCCAAATCTGGATGATTATGGGAATAATTTGTCGTTATAGTAACAAAATTTGGTATTTTTTGAACAAATCAAAAAACCCAAAAATGACTTGGACTTACCACATGCTCTAAATGCCACACAGTGAGTGATGGCAGCGACAATAACGTGACCATGCGTACGTTAGCGTGGCTTTAAATTTTCTTGATGGAAGGTGCTGGGGGTTGATTCCCATGCTCCCGTGAGCACCAAGCCCCAGACTCCATGCCTGCTGGCTTTTGTTGTTGCAGGCTGCGTGCACTTAAAAAAAAATGCAAAAGAACGAAGAAAACAGAAAGAGAAGGAAAGAGAGAAAGAGTAAAAGTCCCCAGAGAATTTGGGGGGGGTCTGTAGCTAACACTGTTAATAGCAGGCAGGGGTCAGCAGCGCTACTAAACAGTCTGTATGACTGCCAGGGTGGCTGTGAAAACAGCACCTGCTGGTAGCGCCACTCCACAAAAGGCAGCTGGGTCAACAGCCACTGTGGGAATTTATCAACTCTGGAAGGGGTGGTGTAAGTGTGAGAGCATGGGAGGGAGAAAAAGCATCTCTGTTCTCACATGAGCTACGTGCATAGCCAGAAAAAGACAAATGATATTATTAAAGGGAAATGACTGAACATATGTTTATATTTCATTTAAAATGTTGTATTAAGTTCAGCAAAGGTAGCCGAGGTGATGAGGCATTAAATGAGGAAGATAAAGGTTAAATACCCCCTGTATCAGAGGGGTGTGGATGCTCTTCTGTGACCTGTTTGGTCATAATTTAGCTGGTGTGTATGTGTGAGTTTAGCCTGTTAGTTGGTGGGGCCTATTTTGATTGACGTGAGGTTATATGTGAGAAAAGGGCTCTGGAGTGGTGTACATTGTGCACCCTAACAATGGCTTAATCAAATGACCCAGTGTGGTCTCCTTTGCTGTTTTGTCATCTGACTCCATTGTTTGGGGGCTCCTTTTGTTGCTTCGTTCCTTGTTTTATTTGTGCTAGAAATTTACTGTGCATTGTGGAAGCCAGTGCTATTCAGTGGGACTGGCAAGCAGCTTTGTTGAGGGGAGGAACACAGCAGAGATGCAGGAATATTTAAGAGGCATAGGAAAATAAAGAAAAGCCCTTTTTTACCCCTCTCTGCAGTGTGCTGGGAGCTAGTTTATAACACACGCTCACACACGCTCGTAGACGTGCGCGCAAGCCCACCACCCACACAGCTTATACTATACAACCCACAGAGGAGCACCCACGGAAAGCTTTCAGAACACATCCAGTCATTTGTGACTTCCATGGCTAATGGAGTTCATCAAGGAGGCCAATTTGAAGTTAACGGTGT